GTGCAGCCCGACTGTCACCGTGCAGCCCGACTGTCACCGTGCAGCCCACCGTGGTCACCAGCAGGAGCACACTTGCTCAGGCTTAAGATTTTGTATTCCTGGGCCGCTGGGAGTGTTAGAAGACATAGTTTTAACTAGGCTCAGCTGCCTGCTGATCACGTGACAATGTGCAAGACGTCTATTTCTTTGAGTCAGCTTATCTATTTTGAAAATAAAAATTGGTACAAGCTCCTGCTTTTCTCCCTGGGTTTTAAAGGTTAAATTATTTATGTATGATAATTCTTCACAGGTTGTCAGTGGAGTAATTGATTAGGTGTGTGAGTAGATCTTGGCAGTGTTAGCAGTGATTAGACCAAGGTAATTAGCATACCTGTTGCCTCATAATTATACTCTACACAAGTTCAAATGTAGCCAATTGTAAGATAAGGATTTAGCGGTCCAGAGGTCACAGTGACTGCGTAGAGAAGGGCAGTGAGAAAGTGAAGGTGAGCCGTCTTTGCAGGACATGCTATAGCAACAGTAAAAATGTACAAGATGGTTGGCTAAGAAGGTTGAATGGGTTGTTGGGAAGAGCTGTTGTTTTAAAGTAGTTCATCTCAAAGTCAGGATTTTATTAGTGTGATTTTTGTTTTTGTTACTCTAAACCAAATATACTTTTATATGACTTCCATTTTAACTTTGCTTTTGTTTTTCAAGACAGGATTTCTCTGTGAGACAGTCCTCGAACTCACAGAGATCCGCCTGCCTCCCGAGAGCTGGGCCTAAAGGCGACCGCTACCACCACCCGGCTCCATTTTAATTTTTAAAATTACTTTTAAAATTAACACACCAATAAATGGTTTTCATTTTTTTAAAATTATTTGTTATGTGTGTGTGACGTGTACGTGTGAGTGTGGGTGCACACGTGCCATAGCGCGGGGGAGAGCAGAGGGCGGCTTTTGGGAGCTGGAGCTTTCTTACTGCTCTAGGTTCTAGGTACTGAAAACAGATGGTTGCGCTGTCTCCCAGCACTCTGGCTTTGAGACAGCGTCTTACCCTATAGCCCAGGCTGGCCTTGAACTCTATGTAGGTGACAGCACAGCACAGTGGTGACAGCACAGCGCTGTGGCCTTCGCGTGGGGTCAGGAGATAACTCTGGGAGTCGGTACTCTCACTCTCCGACGTGGGTCCTGGGAAGTCAAACTCAGGTTGTCAGGCTTGGCAGCAAGCACCTTCACCAGCTGGGCCACCTTATCATCCCCAGCTCAGGTTTATTGCTTTGTTTGCCGAGACAGGGTTTCTCTGTGTAACCCTGACTGTCCTAGAACTCATTCTGTAGACCAGGCTGACCTTGAACTCAGATTCACCTGCCACTACCTCTGGGCCCCCCAGCTTGGGTTTAACAATGTGTTTCCTATTAAGATGGCACTCGGCCCCAGCTCTCTGAGTCTGGAGTTGCTCTTCTTAGCTACCAGAGAAGCCACAGTCTCAGCAAGGCCGGTAGATGGGTTGAGAGCTGGTCCACGCCTGCCGGTAGGTTGCAGGTTTCTTCTCACCAGGCTTCCTGGTTTACCTTCTGATGAGGTTCAGCCAGCACCCAGCCACACTTCCTGTGTCTCTCTCTGCATTTGCCAGCTGACTGCCACACATGAAGGATTTCTGAAACTCTTCCTTTTAGAATAGAGTCTGTTTTTTTAAAGGTGTATTTATTCATGTACGCTATGGGTATGAGTGCTCTGTCGTCATGTACACCAGAAGGAGTCAGATTCCGTTGTCGATGCTTGTGAGCCACCATGTGGTTGCTGGGAATTGAACTCAGGACCTCTGGAAAAGCAGTCAAGTGCTCTTAACTGCTGAGCCCTCTCTCCAGCCCAGCCTGTTTTTCTATCATTTTGATACTTTAATACTGTGTCATAGAAGCAGATTCCAGCCTGCCCACTTACCTAGAAGTTTTATTTTGTAACTTTTTTGTATGTTTGTTTTTGTTTTTTGAGACAGGGTTCTCTGAGGCAGGCCTTGAACTCGCAGATCTGCTTGCCTCTGTCTCCCAAGTGCTGGAACTAAAGACTTGTGCCACCACTGCCTGGCCTTTATTTTGTAACTTTTAATAAACCTTATTAAACAGGATGTGGTGTCACCACCTATAATCCTAGAATCTATGAGCTGTATGCAAGCAGATCATGAGTTCAAGGCTAGCCTGGGCTATGTAAGATACTGCTAGCTGGGCACTATGGCTTGTGTCAGTAATGCAGACTGAGGCAGGAGGATTACTGTGAGTTTGAGGCCAGCCTGGGCTATGTAGATAGTATCACCTTGGACAGCACTGATTTACTATACAACTGGTAACCCAGAAAATAAGTATATAATATCTGCCTTTTGGCAAAAAAAATATTAAATACAATGTTGTAAAGCAATGAGATTTTGGCATTTGATCCAGGTTAAATTCCCAGAAATCTCACAAGTCTTTATGTTATTTTCTTCTTTCTGGAAAAATCTTTTTAGCATATACTTACCATTATTTTTCTTTATTATTTGAGACTCTGTTTATCTATACATTATGTGTATATATATGCATAAAATATGCACTAATAATATACATGTAATAAAATATGCCATGTATGCACATAAAATGTGTATATTATATATATATATATGTGTGTGTGTGTGTGTGTGTGATTTATTTTATTTTATTTGCATTGCTCAGAGGGGTCTAACTCAGGGCCTTAGCCCAAGCATTTTACCACTGAACTATGTACTCCTAGCTCCTTAGCTCAAATATTGACTCTGTCACAGTTCCTTACATACATACACACACACACACACACACACACACACAGCACTCCGTGATCCTGTAGGCCTTCTTACACACACACACAGAGCTCCCCGTGATCCTGTAGGCCTTCTTACACACACACACAACGCCCCATGATCCTGTAGGCCTTCTGAGTATTATCTTCTGTTTGTGTACTTGCTCTAAGAGTCCAAAGGAGGAGTTTCGTATGTACAGAGCGAGTTTGGAACTATTAAACGATGTCATGTATGTAACAGCGCGGTTGTCCTAGTTGTGACGTGCGATAGAAGAAGTACAGGGCTGTTCAGGGAGCAGGTCAGGTGAAGATCAGCAGGAAAGGTGTAGCTTAGGTTTTCAAACATTAAAGTAAGATTTTTGATACCTCAAGGAATAGGCTGTAAATTAAATTATTTTTATGGTGTGTAAGTGTGTAACCACAAGGTCAGGAAACTTTGAGGAGTCAGTTCTTTCCTTCTAGCACTTGGGTTCTGGAATTGAACTCTGGTCCTCAGGCTTGGTGGCAGGCGGGCACTTTACCTGCGATTTGTCTCACTGACCAAAAGAGTTTTTACTAGACAGGTGCATCAACCAATTTAGCACAGTCTATGAATAGTCTTTAGATGGGTCTGTTAAATGTAGTAGGTTTAGCAATGTTAGCCAACATTCATTCAAAAAGAAAAAATAGTGCAAGTCTAATTTTTTTCTTTCTTTTTTCTTTTCTTTTTTTCCTTTTTCTTTTTTCTTTTCTTTTCCTTTCTTTTCTTTTCTTTTTTTCTTTTTTTTTTTTTTTTTTGGCAGTCTCTTTGTATTTAAGACTGCCCTGGGACTTGCACCTTTAATCCAGCACTCAGGAGGCAGAGGCAGGTGGCAGAACTCTTGAGTTCGAGGCCCACACGGTCCGCATAGGGAGTTTCAGGTCAGTCAGCAGTACACAGTGAAACATTGTCTAAATAAGTAAACTATTTTTATGACAGTGCTAATGTCTTTAGTTTTTCTAACTCGACCCTTGTCCCTCATCCTGTGTCCCACCCCCACCCCCAAGCCCCTGTTTCTCTCTTGGTTCTGTTATCTAGAATGTCTTAGGGTTGGCAACCAGGAGCTTCTCCTTTGTTCTTGAACTCTCTCTGCTGGAACTGTTGAAGACCTTGATTGGTTCTGTGACCTTCCAGGGAGAAATTATACTTATCTGTTGGCAGTCTGGGGACCCGTCTTGAGTTTGCTTTCAAATAAACACACTTTAAGGTTTTTGAGATAATAAAAGTTTAGGTTGCGAAATCCACTGAAGTGTTGCAAGTTTTCAGGGAGACAGTCCCGTCTTTGAAGTAGACACAGACACATTTCCTTTCTGTCCAGAACCCTGAGGATGTGACCGTCCCAAGGGTATGACTGTATGGGTCCTTAGCTGTAACAGGCCTAGGTCTTGCCATTCTGTAAGGCACCAGACCCTGATGCTGTTCTGTGAAAGGACCACATTCTGTGTGGCAGCCAAGAATCCATGTGCCTGTCACGTATTCCTCAGTGTTGTAGTTTCCTTGTATCTTTTGTTCCTGTGCAGTGGAACAGCTTTGCAATGGATCCTTTTAAGATATTTTTAAATTTTTTAATTGTATTTATGTATGAATATGTGTGTACACGTGAGTGCAGATGCCCTGAGAGGCTAGAGGGGTGTCAGGTGCCCTGGAGAAAGGGACAGGCAGTTGTGAGCAGCCTGACCTGGGTTGGGAACTAGCTTGGGTCCTGTGCAGCCCTCTTAACCACAAAGCCTTGAAGCCTCCAGCCCCAGTCTTAGCAAGTTTTTCATCCTTAACACTTTACTCAGGATCTTCATAGTCTTAGTGAAGATCTGTTCTGGGACCTGACTTCTCACCTTGCCTGAAGTGGACCCTGTGTCTGTAGGCATCTTAGCTGCTCGTGCGCCTTTCCAGTGGGCACTGTCGTGTCGTGCACTGGAGTGTGTGCATTCCTCTTTATATTTGATTGCTTTCGACTTCATACTTTATTGCTGTTTCAGAGTCAACTTGAAATTCTGCTTTAAACACTCAGTTATTTTTATTTCCCTTAGGTCACATTACCATGAAACAGTTAATAGCCAAGAAGAGACAGTTGGCAGCAGAGGCGGAGGTAGGTATCTTTTTTTTTCCCCAGAAGCAGAAACTGAGGCTTTAGGTAAAGGTAACAGTTTAAATATTCCTCGTTTATTTTTTAGGTTTTATGTATCTGTGGTTCTCACACTCTACTCTTTATTTTGTTTCTGTTATTGTGTGTGTATGCTGGGCACATCGGTGGAGGTCAGACATCTTGCCGGAGTCGGTTCTCTCAGTCCCATGTGGGTCCCGGGATTGACCTCAGGTTGTCAGACTCGGCAGTGAGCACTTTACCAGCTGAACCATCTCTCTGGCCCAGCCCCATTTCTGGTTTATTTTTAATCTTTGGAGACTCCTGTCTAATCCAGGCTGGTTTGGAACTATAGCTCCCCCTGCCTCTGTTTCCCTAGTGCTGGGATCACAAGTGTCTGCCACCTCTTCCTACTTGTTAAAGAACTGTTTGCCTTCCTTTTAAGTTCTTGCTGTGGAACAGGAAGTGAGATATCTGTCACTCTGTCGTCGCTCATGAGAACGCGCGTGGCCCTTCTCTCCGGTTCTATACGGGGCGGACTCTGCTCGCCGCGACGGCTGGTGTAGACGTGCCTGTGAGAGCTTTGTGAAGAGTCCTGCCATAGTTCCTACCTCATCTGCTTCTGCTAAGTGTTCTGTCAGGGATTAGAGATCATTCTAAAAACTAGTGTGGAGCCATTTTAAATGTGGACGGACTGTCCTATGAATCATATAGACTAGGCAGTGCCTTTAAATTTTCTAATAATACATGATTTAAATTTGACTGTGTTAAAATTTTCCCTTTCCCAATGAAATCACAATCAAAGTTCCCTGGCAGAATTGAAGATATGCTCAGTATCCAGTGTCTGTTTTAGTTTTAAGTTCCCTTCAAAGGCCAAGGGGATGTTTCCTTTCATCTAATTTGTTTGAAATGCCGCACTTTCTTGGGTCTAGGATGAATGATGCTGTTGCTGGAAATACTAGTACAAGAGTTTATTTGTTTCACGTTAGTAGAGTATTCCTAAGTGCGTTTGTGACGTCTACTGAGCTGCTTTATAAAGTGGTGTTCAAAAAGTTGTTAAAGTACATTTTGTTTGTTCTGTTTGTTGTGGGACGTATGGGGGTGTTACACACGCGTGGGGAGGTCAGAGGACAGTTGTGGCATCGGTTCCCTCCTCCCATCATGTGGGTCCCAGGGTCTGAAGTCAGGTTTTCAGGTGCGACAGCAGGAGCCTTGACCTGCTGCCCCATCTTTCTGGTTCAGACAATGTCTTTTCTAACTGGTACTTCATTGCTCCAAATGAGGGCCCATTTAAGACTTATTAGCCCAGGTGGGTGGCACATACATGCCTATAATCTATAATCCCAGCAACTGAGAGGCTGAGACAGGAGGATTGCTATGACTTCAAGGCCATCCTGGGCTACATAGCAGACCTTGTCCCAAAAATGTGGAGCTAGAGGGACAGTCAGTGCTTAAGAGCGCTTGTTCCTGCCGAGAACCCAAGTCTGGTTTCCAGCACTTACATCGGGCAGCAGCCACCACTAACTCCCAGCTCTAGAGAATCTGATTCCCTCTGCTGGTCTCCACAGGCACTGACACATACGTGATGCACATATGTACATGTTTGTACATACATACTTAAAAATAAAAATAAATCTTTGAAAAGACCCAGGTGCCATATTTCAACTGTGTAGAGTTGAGGATGTTGTTAAGATGGCTTCTTTGCTGATTGGGCCCAATACAAGTTAGTGTCGTAGGCTGGACCATAGTGAATAATGAGCAAACCTGTTTTCCTCAAGTATTTACACAAGTGTGAGAAAAGATTTCCATAAGAGGGAAGAAAAGGCTGAAGTGGTAGGAACCTTTTCACACGGCTTCATAAGTCCCCAGGGGAAAGATTGTGAAAGGGAGCATTGAGGTGGAAGAGCACAGAAGTGGAAAGTTTCACAGATCCAAGCTAATTTCCCGGGCTTGGTTTTGTTTGTTTGGGTGGGACAAGCTCTTGTTATGTAACCCGAGCTGAGCTTGAACTCAAAACAGTCCCTCTGCCTCAACCTCAAGAGTGCTAAAATTCCTAGTCTGAGCTACCATACCTGGCTTATAGCTTTAAAAAAGAGTACTCCATTATCTGCGTATTTATTAGTGATTAAATTAAATTCTAGGACCTGTGAGATGCCATGAGGAATAAGGGCTCTTGTCGCCCCAGCTGATGGAAGACGGGAATTGACTCCCTCGAGTTGTTCCCTGTGGCCTCCACGTTTGTGCTGTGGTACTTGTATGCCCATTCACACAGTATCAGTAAATAAATAAGTCAGTGTCCGATTCCCTGGTTTGGTCATTTGAAATCAGGATGAAGTAAAGAATGAAATTAAGAAAGTAACTGAGAGGAGGGTGAGCATTAATTTAGCCCACAGTATTAATTATGTGTATGGGACAAGGCCTTGTTATGTGATCTACTTCCTGCTGTTAGGGACACGCAGCAGTCTCAACCCTGGTTTGGAGGTAGACAACCTACACTGTGTCTCAGGTCTCTGATCGTTACTTATGCTCTGCTGGGGAGCAATGGACGGGAACGTGTGGTGGAAAAGTTGGGCTTACATTGTATTCTTTCCTGTTTCATAGCCTCGGTGGGGAATTCTTTTCTACCTGTGTGCTTTACCCTTATGCCTTCACCCATCAAAATAATGCACCATAGTCCTCAAATTCTAGCTCATTCTGCTGACCACAGTTTTCCTACCCCCTTGCTTTGAGTATGTCCTCCCCATCTTGTACTCTTAAGTTTAGTCTATGATTTGATTGATTAATTAATTAATGATTGATTGATTGAGGTACTCGGAAGTAAACCTAGGTCCTACACATGCTAGGCAATCCTCTCCTAATACTGAACATCGTCGCTAGCCCCAATTGTTTGTTTAACAGAGATCTTGTTTAGAGACCTTGAACCCAACTCTGTAGCCCAGGCCTCAGCTGGCAACCTTTTGCCTCCTGTTTGCGATTACAGGCTCTGTAGCAGGGTTCCCTGCATTTATGTGTAGTGCTTTGTTCTAAATGAATCATTACAACTAACTGATAAACTTGTGATTTGAGTCAAATGCCTTTGAATTGGCAGTTGTTGACTAGGACATAGTAGCTTACTTGGTAGAGTGCCTTCCTAACACACTCAAAGCCCTGGGTTTGATCCTCACACTTCTGCCAAAACTGTCTGTCCATTTTTGCTTTGCTCCTGTAGGCTGCCAGTCACTTTTTACTTGGCAATGCTGGTCTGCCTGTGTTCTTTGGAATCTCTTCTCTCATTTTACTTAAATACATAGGTGCACAACTCTAGTCTGCCTTGGAGACTTTTGGGAAAGTCAGGTCATTGGTCTTTTTATTTTATCATTTGAAAAAAACTAGAAAGCTTCTGCCCTTGGATGTTCAGCCTTTCAGGTAACGATGAAAGAGAGTCTGCATGGACCAAAGTGGAAGATGAGTTGGGTTTAGTGTAGACTAACGGGGCTGGGCTGCTTCACCTGCTCGCGCTGCTCTGTCCTCGCACTGGCTCCACGCCCTGCTGTATGAGTGGGCAATGCAGCGACTCAGTTGGATACCTTGGAGCCCTGCGTCGGGCGGTGTCCCTGGTAAGGACTGCCACAGTTGTGTTGAAGACCTCTCCTGAGGTGCTCTGTTTTATCTTATTATTTTGTGGGGGTTCGGGAATTTTTTAATTTATTTTTTATTTTTTTGTGACAAGATTTAACCTTATAGCCCAGATTGGCTTTAAACTTGACAGTCCTCCTGCCTGGGCTTCCCACGTGCTCGGACTGTAGGCACAGATCACTGTACCTCACTTACTGCTGTATTCTTATTTTATGGTTAATGAAACCGAAACCTCAGAACAGTCACAGGATAGTGACTTCCATGACACCACTTGAGGAACACTTTCTTATGTCCTATTTAATGTCCCTGAAATTGGAATAGGTATCCTGGGCTTTGTGTACAATTCGTACCCCCCCTTCTGTCACTCCCCCTCATCCCTCCCCCTCTGAAAACTGTCTCATGTAACCCCGGCCGGACTCAAGCCCACTGTGAGGTTGAGGATTGTATTGAACTCTGATCTTTAGGTCATCCACCATTAGGTTACATGCTTACATTGACTTTTTTATTTTTATTTTTTGAATTGTTTTTTATTGAGCTATATAGACTTTATTTTTTTAGACAGGGTCTCTATGTAGCTTTGGCTGTCCTGGAACTCTCTATGTAGACCAGGCTGGCCTCAGACTCACAGGGGTCCACCTGCCTGCCTCCCATACACATTTCTATTTTATGATTTTTT